AGAGTACACACTGTATGATTCCATTTCTGTGAAGGACAGAACAGGCAAAACAAATCTATGGTGACACAGGTCAGGATAGAATTTACTTTTGCAGGAGGGTATTGATTGAGAGGGATTCAAGGGCACCTTCTGTGGTGTTGCATTATAAATATTATTGACTTTCTGAAAAGTGATTTGGAAATGCAATCAGGTAAAAGCAGCCGGCCCTACTGTACATTCAGTCCTGCTAACTCCATGGTTTTATATTACAAAAAGATTTCATTGGGCTACATGAACATGAAGAGAGTGCCAGGGCAAGCTACAGACTGGCATATGATTTTTACAATAGGTGTATCTGACAAAGATCTTGTATCCAGTTAAAAATGTGCCAAAGACTTGTAAAGCACTTTACAAAAGAGAATAGCAAGATGGCCAAGCAGTCTAAGGAAAGGTGCTTGACATCATTATTCTTCAGGGAAATGCACATTAAAACCACAACTTGATACTAACACACATTCACCAAAATGACTGAAATTCAAAAGGCTGGTGTTAACAAAGGGGGACCAGCATCTTGAGCAATGGAACCCTCCTGCACTGCTGATGGAGGTGCAGAGTGGTATAGCCTTTTTGGAAATCTGCTGTATCTACTAAAGCGTAACATGTGCCTCTCAGGTTAGAGCTCTGCATGGCTGGTCTAGAAACTGAGTTATATAAGAACGGAGAGGGAACACCCTAATGAAGTCCACCAGGGTTAGGAAACTTTATTCCAAGGAATTGAATTTTTCCTTAGATTTTTAGTAAAGTTCCTTATGTAAGTTCCCAGCATTATCTTGGCTTAATAAAGGAGAAAGGGAATTATCTGTGCTTAGTTCAGAATAGTAAGGGAGATGAGAGATCAGGTCCTCTGGTGGAAATGGCTGAGCCAGCCAAAAAACCTGGGAAGAGCCCCAAGAAGCTTTGGCAAATCAGGACAGCTGGAGGATTCTCTCCTGGGGCACCAAGTGGAAAGACCAAGAAAGCCACTCGCCTCTTCCCAGTGCTGTCCAGGAGGGGCCCTCTCCCTTAGAATTCCCACCATCAGTTAGTGGCATGGACAAAATGTGGGCCCCGACAGAGGTGTTTCTGCAGCCCTCCCTCTGTCTTTGATGAGCCAGTGCTAAGGAGTCCACATGTAGTGTGAAAATCCAGCTCAGACGGGAGGATTAAGGAGTTGGAGGAAGGATGTCGGGGAAGGGAAAAAGAAACTGAAGAAGCAAAGAAGGCCGGAGCTGATGGAAGCCAGAGGCCCAGCCTTCCAGCTGTCCTCACCTGGGTCCAGCTGTCCTCACCTGGGTCCATCCGTCGGCGTGGACGTATGACCACCCACTGATGCTTCCCAGGAGAATTGGTGCCAGGGTGGACGGGCTCCTGGGTCACTCATGACAAACAGCAAATGGCAGAAGGAAGGCTGGGGATTTAACATCTGTTCTTTGGCCCATAATTAAAACTTCTTTCCCCTAAACATTGAGGATGGTAGTTGTTAAGTACCAGCCTTTGTGTATCACTGTCAGAGTATTTTTTTTCCAGTATGAGGATTTTCTCAGGAGATGCAATCAGTGAAACAGACACCCCACCCCAAACTTCCCAGGTCACAGGTAAAGTTCCAAGTCATTATTATTTTATGGTGGCTAATTCCATGAACAAAATAAGAAGTACAAGATACTTGCCCTCCTGAAAAAGTTTTTTTTTTTAAGATACAATTATACTTAGACCTTATTCACATGTCTTGTTCTGTTCATTTGGCTTTGAGATTTTGGAGGCTGACTTTTCAACCTCACATTCCTTGCTGGCACCATCCACTGACCTGTATTAGGCATCTATTGTGTGTAGAATGCTCTGTTTCTCATAAAAGGGATAAATACAAACTCATAAAAGTTATTAATAGAATGACCTGAGGTCTTGTCACTAAATCCTAAGATACCATTCATTCATTCAGAGAATGTTTATTGAGCTCCTACCACGTGCCAGGTGTCATGAAGATGCTGATGACACAATAGGGAGTGGCAGGACAGAAACGGTCTCTGCCCCTGAGATGCTTATAGTCCAGTGAGGGAAGAAGAGTTTAATTTTTAAATATCATTCCTCTCTGCACATTTCACCCTTTCTCCAACTCTAAAGTTTGTCTAATGTTATCAGGGGTACAAAGAGGAAAATAAACCCACTGGTCTTGAATGGGATCCAGACTAGGGGGAATAAGCAAGTATGTCCAGGGGCTGTGGCTAGTAGTTCCATCACACACTGTGAGGGGTTGGGGCGGTTTCATGGAGGGCAGCTATGGTGTTCTCCAAGCTGGAGACATACCCCTGTGGGAAGAACCAGGGGGAGTTGCTCTAGTTCTCATTTGGTTGTTAGCCTATGCCCCCCAAGTGGTTGAGAATCCCCAAAACTGACTCGACAGAGCAGGTGGAATGTGGGGTGAAGGAGTAGAGATGGGGCCGAGAACAGGCAGAGACCCTGACTGAGGTCAAGGAAAACCCTGGTCTACATCTTTCTCAACTTGGCTCTCTGATTGGATCTCCACAGACAGACAAGAATGAAGGATGAGAATCCAACTAGTAATTTCTCCCCACCCAGTTTACAAAGCACATCCACATGTATGATCGAATTTGTTTCTCTTAACAGTCCTTTGAAGCCCTTTGAACTACCAGCCATTTCACAGATGAGAGAACTGAAGTTTCTTTCCATAGGTAAAATTATTTGCCTAATACCACACAGCTCATGAGGTGGCCGATTGGAGATCTGAATCTATTTCCTCTGTTAGTGCTGTGTACTTTACAGGCCTAACTACTATTATTTAAATTTGCAGCTGACAAGATGGATGAGCCCCCCACTAAGGAACCTAGAAGCTCCCAAGGTGAAGGTTTGCTCAACTCGGCAAATAACATTGGAGATTCTGCCAGGAAAGTCTTGAATTTGTTGGATATGTCCCAGGAGGGCTTGTTTCTGTGTGTGCTGAAGAGAAAACAGATGTCAGGGACATCTCCAACATGAAGTCCACTTCATGATGCTTTTCCACAGGCAGATTGTGAAAGGGATTCCCACTTGCCTGACTGGAGAAGCTCTATGCACTTGGAAAGTAAACAGCTGTTTCCACCATATGATTCTAGAGCAGTGGTCAGCAGGCTTTCTGTAAAGGGCCAGATAGTGAATGTTTTAGGCTTTGGGGGCCGCGTGCAGTCTCTTTCACCACTCCTGAACTGTACGGTTACAGCACGAGCAGCCATGGAAAATGTGCAAATGAATGGGCGTGGCTGTATTCCAGTGAAACTTTTGGACACTGAAATGTGAATGTCATATAATGTTCACATGTAACAAAACATTACTCTTCTATTGATGTTTTCTCAGCCTTTTAAAAAACATAAACAGCATTCTGAGTGCATGGGGCTATATAAAACAGTCAGTGGCCGCCCACAGGCTGAAGCCTGCCACTCCCTGTTCCAGGGAACCAAAGAGGTTTCTCAGCCCAATATCACCCCCATACATACTAAAAATTCCACATCAGTACTCCATTCCTTTTTGGGGTTAAACAATATTTCTGCTGTTTCAAGAGGCAGGCATCCTGGGAGAAGGTGGATAATAAATTCTTAACAACTTCATTTTAAGAGTTTTTTAGATAAGTTAGAATATAAGGGCCATGAGGGCTAGGCTTTTTCGTTCCCTGCTCAGTTCATTGTTAAGTGCCAAGACAATGAACAGAGTTGTACAGATTCTCTGTGCAAATACTGGTTGAGGGAGTGAATGAACTTGTCCCTCAGACCTGAAAGATGGGTGTCCCCAGAAGGGGCAGCGAGGAGGTAACAGTGAAGTCATGTGGCTCCAGGTGAGCTGGGCAGAGGTGAAGAAGATAAAGCTTGAAACTTGATATTCCTGCAGGCCCTGGGCCTGGGAGGCGCTGCAGTCAGCTGACGCTCCAGGAAGCCAGCCGGCTTGGAAGAGCCGGGATGCAGGGCGTGCCAGAGCCCGCGGAGCCTGGGAAGGGTGTCAGCAAAGCCCCAGCGGCTGTGCTGGGCGCCCGGAGAAGCGGCACCAAGCTTGATGGATCACACGACCCATTTCAGTGGGGTAGTATGGTTCCTGCCAAGGAAAACGTTAGGACTTGACAGATTTGGCACGTCCCTGGGACGTAAATTTGTGCAATGTAAAGTTAGATGGGCCTTTGGGGAGATGGGGCAAATCTGAACAGTGTGGAAAAGTGTGTAGGGGGTGTCAAAACCCCCTCCTTGTGCAGGGAAGTGCCAGGGAAAAGAAAGACTGAAAAAGGGGAGAAAATGAAGCCCCCCATGCTCCCCCAGCAGCCACACATTTTGCTGGGTTAGACATGTCATCAAATGCTGTACGACTAAATGAAGGTAATGGCTGCGGTGTGTGTGATTAGAAATAACCAGGGCTCCTCACTGCGACTGCAATGAAAAATACCAAACAGGACAGTTACTGGATGGAAAAGTTCTTGGAGATGAGCTGCCCAGCAAAGGGGCTCCATCCTTGGCCTGGTCCTCTTCCTCAGTTCTCCATGTGCAGAGTGGGTTAGTGATCAGCCTTCCCCCGGCTGCCCTCAAAGCTGATCCTTACCTCTTACTTCCGGATACTCAGATCAGACTCGGGAATTCCCAAAGTTGGAAAGGGACAGACCAAATCAGCCACTTCATCTCTGGTTGGATAAGTCAAGCTGGGGCCCTGTGAGACCTTCTAGATATCTAGGTGAGGCCCTCACATACCTGGCCCAGGAGCCCCAGGGTGCAGAGGAACCAGTAGGACAAACTGAGCTCCCAACTGGAACTGGGGTCTGCAACAGTGGAGGTCAACATTTGGGGCCAAGAGAAGAATCACAGAATGTTAGGGAGGGCCTGGGTTGAGATGTGGGGGTACAGCGGCATGTCTCTTCCTCAATACACCCACAGCAGCAGAGCATAATCAGGAAGAGCCTGGTAGACCTGAATGGTGTCCTGGGCCTTGATCTTACCAGCTGTTTGACTTGGATCAGGTGACTTTACCTCAAGGTGGCTTTCATCGGCTGTAAAGTGATATTTACCTCATTGACTCCAGATTGACTGAAATGGTGTGTGTAATACAACTAGGACAGTGCCTGACACGCAGGAAGAGCATGATACATAGCATTAGCTGTTGTAATTTTTAAACTGCAGTTTGATGAAACCATTTCCATTTTCTCAGAACCAGCCAGTCTTCACCTCCCCATTGCCGAGCCTCTGTGAAGAGGAGTCCCTTCAATATCTCCTGACACCACACTACCTACTTCTCAATTTTTCTGCTGGAGTTCCCCAGTGAAGAGGAAAGCAAGCAGGTATTCAGTTGGGTGTGATCCAGAGTGGCCCCCCACCTGCACAACATGCTTTTAAAGGCTCAGTTTTAATTTAAACTTTCTTGCCTATTTTATACTTTACTCCATAAAATGCTGTAATAGAGTAAATGTTATAAACTTTTTCCCTCAGAATCTCTGAGTAACACTGGGTCTCCAAGAAGATGGCCATTCCTACTGAACACATACCCCTGTTGGAGATTTGCAAACCACATCATTGGGACTTATGGCAGGTCAGCAGGTCAGGAGATGGAGGTTAGGGCATCAGAGATGATGGCCCATCAAGGAAGAGGCCTTCATGATAGCCTGAGTTGGCCTAGTAGGATGTAAACACATGGAAAGGAGAAAGAACAGTTGTGAGCAAAGGTCTGGAGGTGGAGAACACAAATGAACTTATCAAAGAACCACAAAGGAACTTTGTCCCAGAATCCAGGAACTGGGGGTCTTTCTCAGCTGAAAGTCACTAATCTTCACATCTTGAAAACCCAATCCCATAGGAGCTAGATTTGCAGGCCCAAGAACATCAGTCACCTTCAGAGGCCACACAGTTTCTTCTGCTCTCCTACCTCACTCCCCACACATTTTCCATCTGGACGGGAGGCCCCGTGCAAACATGGCTGGCGCCAGGCATTTCTCACATGCCTCCCTCAGGACTTACAGTCATTAAGAAAGTTCTCATAATGAGTATTTCGGCCCCAAAGCACCTGGCCTTCCCTGCGTCTCTCAGCAGACAGGGTCAGGTCGCACCTCCCCCACCCCAGGTCAGGCACCTTCTGTGTGAATTGTCCTTGCCTCTGTCCTTTCCCTCTTCCTTCCTCATGCAGCTTCCTTCCTGGAGGTGTCAATGAGGGCTGAAAGCTGAGGGGAGGACGAATCATGACATTCAGTCAGTTCTGCTCCCTAAAGTGTGGGCTGCCTCAGTGTGCTGAGCTAACTTGCCTCTTATCAGAACGCTCCCATTTTTCTCCTCCCATGTTAGCTGCCTTCCTCCAGGTTAGCTGCCTTCCTCCAGATATCAAGGAAGCAAAGCAAGGTACAGTCTGTTGGGGAATCTAACAATGCCTCCCTCTCCCACCCTGAAGAAGGCCTGAAGAAGACGCCTTTGGGACTCAGGGGTACAGGATGGTGCTGTAGTGGGGGTCCCTTGGCACTCAGTGAAGCTTAGTGCTATCTCATGATGTTTGTTCTGTGTCTTGAAATGACAACTCAGGCCTCTGGGTCCTGGTTGCAAGGAAGGCAAGTCAACTGTACATGTTTTACTATGTTCCAGAGCAGGTAGCTGTGTCCTTGCACACAGGATCTCTCTCTTGGCTTGCTGAGCTCATCACAGGTCTCAAGGAATACCTGATGAAAGATTTATTGGTTTCCAACCAACACATTTATATGTCTAGCCCTCTCCCACACAGAAACCAACATGGGGCATCAGAATAGGAGGACTCTCTATTTATAAATTTGGAAAGACAGAGGTTACTATAAGCCAGCATATAATAGTATCGTGCACTTGGCAGCAAGATGAAATCCAGAGAACAGGCTTAGGCTTTACTCCAGATGATTCAATCCCAGCTCCTCACCTGTAAAAAGGGGGTAATGCTTCCTAAATAATGGTATGATGTGAAACAATTACCAAAAGTGAACACTCAGCAAAGGTTTAGTACATCGTAAACCCAGTCATAATCATCTACTTCTTCTCTTTGGTGGGTCATCAAATTCAAGTCGGTAATGTGGCTCCTTTGGGAGAGAAATATGTGTACATTTTAGACAATGGTAGGTCAATTTATGAACTTCACTCTTCCTAGATGTGGCCACATACAAAATGTAAAGAGAATTGGGACATACAATGAAAGCTGTTTCCCAGATGCTGACTCCATGCTGCTCTGCCTTTTGAGAATGTGCAGAGGCTCCTCATAGTCGCTGCACCAAACTGTTGATGGGTGTCTCAGCAATCATGAGGTTCTAGGCCAGACAGAACCTGGGGTGCCGACACTGTGGAGGCCTTCTGTGGGCTCTGACTTCCTTTAGCCCACTCTGGCCTGCTAGCGGCAGTTAACAGTTAAGAGAAATAGTGGCTTTAAAAGTCTTCTTAGGGCTTTGGAGAAGGGCATGGGAATGCAAAAAGGGGGCACAGGAGACAGGTCCCGGGGAATCGCTCCCTCTTATCAGAAAGAGGGGTCATGTGGACAGTATGTAACATGCATTGCGCCCCCTCCTCTGGGCTCGTCCCAGTTTGAGGCTTTCTGACCCTGGACGGTGAGCTTTAGCTCTTCCATCTCTTTGTCTCCTCTGTTTGAGGCTCTAGGATGATACTTCTGACAGAAGAGTCAGCGCTGAGATGACTGGAACCAATGCCAGGATCCTCCATCCATGTGCAAGGTGAAGGCCTATCTGCAACAGGATTTACTTTCCCAGACTGAGCTGGGCAGAATTTAGATTTGACAACCCCATTGAACATTAAAAGCAAGTCAGAAGACCAGTGAGATTTCCAAGAAGCTGGTTTTGCTTGTTTATTTTTGTTTTATCACTGTAACAAGAGGGCAAGAACTATAGAATTTTGTAGAATCAAACCTTTTCCTTAGCAAGGTTACCTTTATTTAAATAGCACCTTTATTCCAGGAAGCTAGTAAATCAATGAACTATGCCCTAGAGGTAGGCTCTTTAGAGTAATGATGTAAAACATCTAAGTGACCTGCCTGGATCGCACAGCACGGGAAAGCCCGGGGGAGAGAAGGAAAAGCTGCCATGGGAGTTCATTTTCTAACCTCTGGCAGTGGTACCTATTTTTTATTTAAAACTCTTTCAAAGTGGGTCTCTGAATTTCAGCCCAAGACAAGACTGTGCCGGTCTTTGAGGTCAAGCTCATACATGTCAACTAGACTTCCTGCTGTCAAATTCTCCCTGGCTGGCCTCTGCAGTCCTTGCCTCCGGCTTCCCACTGCAGCGGTGGTGCCATCCCTCGCTGAAGTGTTCCCACCACACATCCTCTGCTTCTGCTCCTGCATCCAGCCTGCCAAGAACAGCGGGTGCTCACGTCTCTGCTGTGCAGACTGGGCTGCCACAGGGCCGGCTTCCCGTCTTTAGCTTGGTTCTCTGTGCTGCTCAATGCCCTCTTTTCCATTTCTGCTTGACTTCCCATCCCATTTCCTGCCTGCCTCCCATTTCCAAGCCCTCCCCTCACACTCTTACCAGCCCCTCCATTCCCACCTGCTACTCTTAGCATGTGATCTCATTGGTTTGTTCCCCAAATGCCAGCAGCCTCATTCATCACCCTTGCTGTTATCTCCACATGCTCTGGCCCATCACCCCTCTTCCTGCTGCTCTCCAAGGTAACTCCTTCCCCCCTTCCTGCCTCTCCCATGATCACGCACCACTAGAGTCTCCCTTTGGGTACATTTTCAATCTCTCCCTACTTAGCAGTTCCTTACTGAATGTTGTTCAAGAGTCCATCGCCCAAGAAAATGTTCCTTTCACTCACACTGTGAAACTTCTTCAAATCCACTCTTGCTGCCTCTATTTGTGAATTCCAGCTCAACTTTCTCTTTCCTTAAGCTATCCTCCTAGAGAAAATCATTATCCTCTTTATTGCTAATCCAAGCACCTCATCACGTCCCCTTCTGGGGCCTCCTTGAAGCATCTGAAATATGCTCCAGTTCTTCCTCTGGCAACTCCCCTCCCCTCTAGTTTTGGCTCACCTCCTACTTCCCCTGCTGTTGCTCTTGTCTGTTGCATTGGCACCTCTCAACACAGATGTCCCTCAGGGTCTGCTCTTCTCCTGTTTTGGTCCATTTCTCCCTTTACTGTCCCCTGGATACTGTCTCATGAAAGCCATTGCCAGGGATTCCGATTCCACATATCCAGTTGGAACTCGTGGTTTCCTCTCTCCCTCCCCCCACACCACTTCCTCTTGGAGCTCCCTGTCTCTGTCATAGCCAGGAGCATCTTCCCAGGCACCCTGGAGATAGCAAACGACTGGCTGGTGCTTCCCTTCCTCCCACCACATCGGACTGGCCACCCGCCACCCTTGGCCGAGTCCCCAGCATCCATCCTCTCTCTCCAGGAACATGGCTCTTGCCTTGCCCGTCCTCCTCCTCTCTGACCTGGGCTACTGAGACAGCCTGTCTTCCCCTCAACCCACCCTCCTGTATGGCTCACAGGGTCTTTTCCGACTACACAGATGGGGTCATATCACCACTCCCTCACTTATTCACCCTCATCCTCAGGGCTCCAACACCTTTAAGGGGTGGCTGTGGCTTGCAAAATAAAACGTGGCTTCTGTAGCCTGCTGAGCATGGCTCTTGATAAGACCTCATCCTAACTTCAATTCCATTTTCCCCCTTCCCACTCCCACCAACACCCACACACATACATCCCCCCGCCATGGGTACCTCCCTTATCCTCCTTCGTTTGGGACAGCTCACTATTCTCCAGATACAGCTTTTACTTTCACACCATGTCATGCTGGTTCCCTTCATGTGCATGCTGGTTCCTTACCTGCAGACATCATTCACCTCTTGAAATCCCACTCATATTTAAGGTTCATCCCTTCCATGAAGGTTTCTCTTATTCCTCTTGGCACGGATTACTGCTTCCTCCTCTGAAGTCACATAACATTTTGTTTGTATCTCCATTATAGCACTTTCCTTATCCTTGAGAGGGCAGACCGTGTCTTTGTTATGCCTGTACGCTGAAAGACCTGGCAACACAGCCTGCACGTAGTGAGAACTTATTGTTCACTGGATGCACAAGTGAGTGAATGACTAAGATGTCCCCCTGTTGTGTGGGAGTCATAAGCGTAATCACTTTAGTTAGGCTGAGTGGTAACGACAGAGCTCTTACTGTGTTCGTGTCTGAGTTTCATCAGGATCCCAGCTCAGACTCAGCCAAAGCTCAGTGAGTAGCCCTCCAGCTTCACTTCCACTCTTTTCGTTCTTCCTTCTGGGATACAGGCCTCTCCTCTGCCCCTTTACCCTAAATAAGATTAAGTCTTTACCTCTCCGATAAGTATACCAGCAGTCGCTCAATCAAGGAACTTTCTACTTCTTCATAGGGCCACTGAAGGTGTGTGCTGGCTGGGATACCACCTCCCCCTCCTGCTCTGCCCTCTCCGCCTCCCAAGAGCTCCCGTCCTGCTGTCACATACTGGTTAACCCCATGCTGCTGCTTTCACCCTCCCCTTGACAGGCTTTGCCTTGCCCGTCATTTATGCTGTGGTGGAGAGCTAAGTCCCTATGTCTCCTTTCCAGGGACTTCTGCAGTCAACCCTCTTAAGAAATGAAAGGTATGTCCCCTATTAGAGGCAATTCAGACCCTAGGAAAGGAGCGGTGGGTTGGGGAGGAGTGGGGTGTTCTGAGATGTAACCTCTTTCCTCCTGTTCCTGACATCTCTCAAGCAGCCGTCTCCTCTGCAAGTGCCACTGCAGTAAATCCAGGGAGGCTGGGACCACACAGAAGCCCTTCACCTAAACAATGGCCTAGCACACAGCAAGAGAAAGCCATGCTGGAGTAGGACAGCTTGTAATTCCAATGGGCTTGACGGGTGAGTCAGCATTCGTGCCAGCAGCCCCTGGCTCCTCTCCCAGAGCCTGGAGGGAAAATGCTGTGTTGCACACCTGTGGTCAGGCACTGAGTCAGAGACCCTATGGCTCTCCATCTCCCCGTTTGCCAATCTGCTTGTGGGCCCTGTATACCCTTCTTGGCCTCTGATGAGGACCCTAGCAGACTCCGGAGCACCCGCTGCCCTGGGAAGCTATCCCTCTAGTGGTCAGATGAAACATGGCCTTCCAGGGAAGGGACCGGGCCAAAGTTTGTATGTCCAGTGCCTGTACCTGTGCAGGCTGAGCAAGAGCTGCGGGCTCCCCTCCCTGGGCAGTGGGCAGAAGTGGAGCCAGTAAAGGCCACAGCCTGCCATCCAGGTTTCCATTCATGAGCCTTTGTAAGCTTGTAGCACAAGGCTGGAAGGTCGCCTCTTTTGCCATGGCTTGAAGTGGTTTGCACAGACCGAGTTCAGATATGTAATAGCTGTTCTCTATTCTCTATTTTCTATGAGAAGATTTATTCAAAAATAAATTTAGCTAAAGGGAAAAGTTAAAAAAAAGGGAAAACAGAAGGACAGATTTTCTTGCTGACTGGCTGCCAGGGATTGAAACGTTGAGGCAGCCAGTCCCTTCGGAGGAGACAGCTGCAACATTTCACGGTGTAAAGTCAGCGAATTTCCACCAGTCCGCCTGCCAGAGACCACAAAATGGTTTCAAACAACGGCTCGCTTCATGATATTTGTGTATGTGTGTGTGTGTGTGTGCGTCCGTGCGCACGTGTGTGTTTGAAAAAAAGCAAAGGGGAGGGTGGGCAAAGGGGGAACTAAAAAGTGTCCTCGCCCAGGCAGCCGAGTGGGCCGGGGCACGGCGAGCAGATTAATGAAAATGTTTCGCTGGCAGGAAGGGTTTGATTGCCCCACTGCAAAATTGCTTGCAGATTTGAAAACAGCATGTTTCATTTCAAACTCATTCTCTTGCCATACATTAGCACTTGTCAATGTAACCATTAAGCACAGGCAGTGCAGAAATTTAATTACAAAACCATTTATTTTATTGAAAGAAAAATAAACCCAAGCTACCTCAAATGCATTAGGTAGGTTCAAAACATGTTCAGCTGATAACACCCAAGGGTAGGGAGGCTGCTGTAAGAATAAATGCGTCTTTCATGTGTGGTGGGGACTCAATATTAGAAACAGCTGCCTATAGGTTGCTCTTTAAGTTCAATTATGAATTAAAAAACAACTGACTTAATGAAGGGACTTTTTATACCTGAAGTTACTCAGCTGTGGTATTCATTCTTCATTTCCCATTTTTGCGCCCCACTCCCCTTTGCAGCATTTGAGTTAAAAATGCTAAATAGGAGAACAGAACTTTTTATTGAATGGGTCCCCCTCCACCCTCCACCCCTCATCTTAGGCTTGTCTTTTGTTCTCCTAATGGTAGAAGAACGCAGGTCTATGGTATTAATTAAAGGAAGTTACAGAAATGTGCTAAACACATCAAAAAGTCTCCAATCTGTGTCTTATTTATGCCTTCTCTCCCTGTCCCCAGTGTGGGTCCTCTATACCGTTAGAAAGTCAGCAGCACAAGGCTCTCTGCTGAAATAATAGATTTGAGTCAAGCGGTGGGCTGATGTCATGCCGGAGACAGCCTCTCCTTAGCACTAATGAGCTGCCAATAACGTGTCTGTTTTACTATTCTGCTGGAAAGGGAAAAAAAGAGTTACAACCTTAGTGGTTTGGACTGATTTGTCAATTTAAAGTACTTTTTTTTTTCCTGTCTGAGATAGCTACCCACAATTTCTCACAGACATCTCCTCATGCAGCCTACTCAGAGGAAGAATCTGGAAAGGAATTATCTTTTTTATTTTTTAATTTCCCTATTGAGAATATGAATCTCTAAAATTTCAGGGAGTCATCATTTGGTGGGAAGTGGGGAGCAGGAGGCACATGGGCACAGAGGGGGCTCTTCTACTGAAAATTCCATTTTAGCTCTAGTAACTAAGCTGATGCCCAGCAACAGACCCTTGTGACACTGACAGAGTCGTGATGTTGCCTGCGTTCTCGTTTCTGGCCTGTTTCACAAGGACCCCCAGACCTCTGCTGCCGCTTGCAGGACCACTGCTGATGCTCTTGGGGACCATGCACATCATTATCCAAACTGCTGAGAACTCCCAGGAGGGAAGCCTGAGCAGCTGTGCTATCCAGACGACTTGGAAATTATACCTGCTCCCTGGCCTGGACAAGCAGCTCTGCCTCTGACCTGGATGCTCTGCTCTGTTCCTGACATGCGCTCCCCATGCCAAAGACCCAGGGAACCTGAGGCAGGAAAAACACATCCACAAATAGAGAAACTCACCCCTCCAGGTAGCAAACCGTTTACTATAGATTTTAGACAATCACTTGTTTAGGGAGGAGAAAGGTGGGCAGAAGAAGACAGGATGAAGAAGTGGAGAGGGGGTGGCGTTTGTGTCCTATTTTAGGAATTGGGGAGAAGTGGTGTCTGAATTGATCCCCGTAAACCAAGAAAACTCCAGAGCAGAGTGGGATTCCATCTTGTTAGCACAAATGCACCCAGCAGAGAAAATACAAAACACAACAAACATTCCCTGAGGGCATCTAGAAGGTGATGCCTGACTTTGACCCAGCCAAGGAGAGAGGCTCTTATTCCTTAAGTGTGTATAAGAAAGAACAAGGCAGGAAGGGGGATGGTGGGAGGAAAGAACCAGATCGGCTAATGTGCTGTACTGAAAGAATTTCTACTTGGGATATGTGCTGTAGACTTTCTGAACATCACATCTCACACAATAAAAGCACACACCAACATCATGTGCTTCTGCTTATGTCCCTCTCTGTCCAGTGCTTGGGATGGATCAAGGTGTTCCTGTGGCTTCCAAGTCTTGTTAAGTGTGTGTTTTCTAATTACATGATGCTTCCCAGCCTGGATTTCAGGCAGAAGAGTTTCAAAAATGTATCCTAGTTTTAGAAACACAGTACTTTTTGAACTAAAACAACTCGATGGATTATTCAAGAATTCTCTTACTCTTGCCGTCTTCTGGAATAAGAAGTAAACTCCTAGGAAACAGAATAGATTTCCTCTCCTAGGAGCTGGGTTGGCAAAGCAGTTGGAACAAGAAAACTCTTCAAAAGCATTCTGGGGAAGGTGAAATGAGCTTGCCTCTGCAGTAGACTTCTGGGGAATGTGGAAGTTGCAGCCCTGCAGAGTGCATACCTGAGTATGCCCAGAGAACAAGAGAGCTGGATATCTTACCCAAAGCCCTAATAAAATAAAAAGGATTGAAATAATAGGACTATATATCTTCTAATTACAATGTATTTAAATTAGGAATCAACAAAAATAAGATACCTAGGAAAACCTCAAATATTAGGAAATTAAACATATACTTCTAAACAACCAATAAGTAAAAGAAGAAATCACAGAGAAACTAGAAAATATGTAAAACTTAGGTGAGAATAGAAATACAACAAAATTTGGAGGATGCAGCTAAAGCAGTGCTTAGAGGGAATTTTATGGCTTTAAATGCTTATATTAGAAAAGAAGAAAGGCCTAAAATCAGTGATTTAAGATTCCACTTTGAGCCTAAAGTAAATCAAATGACAAATAACATAGTAAATATGAGGGCAGAAATAAATGTAATAAGAAATAGCAAGCAATAAAGAAAATTAGCAACCCCCTAAGTTGTTTTTTGTAAAGAACAAAAAAAAATTGATCAATTTTGTTAGACTGTTGAAGAAAACACAAGTTATCAATATAAGGAGTATAAGAGGGATTATTACCAGAGATCTTGCAGACATTAAAATAATAAAAAGAGAATAGAAGAGTATTGTGAAGAACCTTATACCAGCAATTTCTATGAAATAGTTGAAATGAAAAAATTCTTTAAAAATATAAATCACTAATATTTGTACAAGATGAAAAAGAAAACCTGTATTCTAGGCACAGATCATTTTGCTGGTAAATTCTATCAAATGTTCAAAGAAAAAGTAACACCAAAGTCTTTCAAACTCTTTCAAAAAACTCAGATTCTTTCAAAAATTAGAGGAGGAAGGATACATTTCCCCAACTTATTTTATGGTACCAGCAAAACTCTAACACCAAAAACTGACAAACACATGTAAAAAAGAGGCCAATATCCCTTATAAACATAGATGTAAAATTCTTAATAAAATATTAGCAGATTAAACCCAACAATATATAAAAAAGAATATACATCATGACCAACAAGGGTTTACCCTAGGAATGCAAAATTGATTTAATATTTAAAAATCAATCAACATAACACACCACATTAATAGAAAGAGAAGAAAAAAACCATACAATTGTTTTGACAGATGCAGAGAAAGCAACTGACAAAATTTAACATGTATTTAGGATAAAAACTCTCAGCAATCTAGGGATAGAAGGGAACTACCCCAATAAAGAATATTCTTGATGATGAAATATTGAAGACTTCCCTAGTAAGTTTGGAAACAAGGCAAAGATGTCTGCTTTCACCACTTTTATTCAACATTGTACTGGTGGTCCTAGCCATTGCAATAAGGGAAGAAAAAGAAAGAAAAATTTTGCAGACCAGAAAGAAAGCAGAATTAAAACTGCCTGTATTTGCAGATGGCATGATTTCTTATGTAGAAAGTTCTGAGAAATCTATAAAACTATTATTGGAATTAATAAATGAATTTAGCAAGGTTACATGTTACAAAGTTAAAATACAAAAAAATTAATTGTATTATAGGATTGCAGCAAACAATTTGAAAATGAAGTAAAAATGGTTAATTTACAAGAGTGACAAAAAATGCTTAGGAATAAGCTTAACAAAAGATGTGCAAGACCTATACACTGAAAACCAGAAAATATTGCTGAGAGAATTTAAATATATAAATATATGAAGAAAAATACTGTGTTCATAGATTAAGAGAATCCAGGTTGTGAAGATGTCAGTTCTCTCCAAATTTATCTATAGATTCAATACAAAAT